CATTTCTGTTAGAGGCAGACATTTTGAAAACCTCTTGTAAATAACATAAATGAATAATAATCTGCTGTTCAGTAAAAATCAAACGTGTTTTTGTGGTTTTTGCAAATTTTTTTTCCGAAACTAACAATTTCTATTGAGCAGAGGGTTATCCAATTTTGGGTTCGGTTCTATTTGAGCCACAATTACGGTAGCATGTAGTAAAGCTAGGTTGATGAAATTTTTACGGTATATAGCTGATACCGTAAGGAAGTTTTTAAGATACTTACGAATAGTAAGAACATGTTTTTTCAATTTTTTATAAACGTTCAAAGTTGTTGCACTTTTTTACTTTTTTGTTATGTTCGAAGATTTTGAAAAAAATTAAAAAGTAGTATTAGTTACATGACTTGAATGATTATATGATAGTTAAGCCTTAGGTCTTAGCTACATAATCGTGAAAAAAGCAGGCATTTATCACAATTATTAACGAAGTTATGGTAAAAATAAACACAGAACTCAAAAATTCTCGAAAAATCCGAAAAAAATCATAACTCCTAAACTAAACAAAATCGGACCATATATATGGGGGTGATTTGGGTTCCTCTCGATGTGGGGAATCTAATTTTTTTTTATGACGTCACGTGTTTGGCCACCCTGTATATATATATAAACAGAATTTTTATACATTTTTAATTTTATTATTTTCATTGCCATAAAACTTTTGAGCTCTAACGTGTATGATTCACATGTTAATATACTTCAAAATCAGTCAACCACAATGTGACTATACATCTCTCAGATGGCGAAATATGGCAACGCAGCGCTATCAAAATTCGCATCCATTCCATCCTGTGATCGATAGTCGATCTTCTGTGGTCTATTCTACAACGTCACTGCAGTATATATGTTTTGTGGTCACTTCTCACTTCTCACTTGTTCTGTATTGATATTTGACGTCGACATTTACGATCGGTCAATTGGTTTTGAAAATATCAGTCGAAAATCCTAAAATGGCGTTATTTGTTCTTTTTCCAGTAAATCCAGAACGGTTAATTTGACAGCTGTCAAAATGTGACATTTTTCGGACATTTTTTTTAGAAAAATAAATCAAATTCAAGCGGGTAACTAAATGAAAATGGTATTTACCATTTTGGGTTGGTATTTACCGATCCGTTCAAGCGATTGTGGTTATCAGTTTGGTTATAAGATCCGTGACGTCATGAATCAGCTGTTTGTTATATGTCATAGTTATCACCGCAAAATTCTGGTTTTTACCCAACTCAGAAGTTGTTTTATATTTCTGGTTATTATTTGAAATGTGACAAGTTAGAATTTTGCCGGGTATTGGGAAACTTGATACAGGCTGACTTCAGTTTTAGCATAGCACCTTATTAGTTATACTCATTACTGTTGTTGGGGACACTTTTAATCTGGTTCCTATGCTTAACAAAGTAACCTGTGTAGCCATATACCACAAGAATATTAAAATATGGCCATATAAACTCACTGGATGATGTCCACCTGTATACGATTTTGGTAATATCTTTCTTCATCGCTTTTTCATCATTTCTGCTAAATCAATAAATGTTTTCTTTGACATGCGGAAAACTTTAGAGAATTGATGGTTCCATCATTAAAAATTTTTGTTCTAAAAAAAAAAACATTTCTCCCATGAATATTATGAAAGGTTTCTTATTTAAACTTTCCATACACCGTTGTAGACGAAAAAGCACCGATTATTAAGTGAAAATGAAAATAATCAGAGATTATATACCCGCATTTCTAAAATAAACAACTTGCAACAAAACCGCGGTTAAAACCAACGCGTTCAAGCGTGTCATCTTGAACCATATTATAACCGTGGCACATAACAGAAATTTTGGTTATTCGCTTTTATTTGATTATAAGGTAGCATGTATGACATGTCTCAATCGTCTTTTGTTTTCCAGCAACCCGCCTGCACTTTCATTTTTCTTATGGCCGCCATTTTGGATTTTTTGATTTTTGAAAAGAGTGTAAAATTTCTAGTCTAGTAATGTCTCACAAGTGCATTAAAGGTTGGAGTATCATCCTAATATCATCACTCGTAATGTTATTTATTAGTTTTTTTCCTAATGAGGCCATGATTTAGAAAAAAATGAGTAAGGCATAAAAAACATACATGCCTTGAATTTTCAATAGAATATTAACGTTAATATCGGCTTCTAAATAAGTCAAATGTTTTTGGACTAATTCCCAACTATGAGTGTGTTAAAAAAACAAGTCAGAAAAATCGTCGTAAATTTATTTTACACATGGACAAACAAGCGTTTTTCCAAATTGTAAGTGGGTATTAGCTCACAGTTTTTCTTACAACCTTAGCTAGTGTATTTCTATTAATGTTTCAAACTGTGCTCAAAATTCTTTGTCTTAGGATTCCTATGGTCGTGGAGGATTAAATTCATAGACCTCATTCGTTGTGAGACCCCAGAGGTAGAGATCCAAGCGTAAAAGGTCAGGGGATCTAGGAGGCCAAGATATTGAACCATTGAATGAAATTATTCTTTCATCAAACTGCTCTCTTAAGAAGTTCCTGAATGGTGTTGTGAGCCGGACATCCATTCTGTTGAAACTCATCTTCGGTTAGACTAGTTCGTAAAGCCGGCACAACCTGCTTTTGTAAAAGCTCTAGGTACTTCTGTCCCTTTAGGTTGTAGTCAAATAATAATGGTCATATAAGTCTATTTCCTGAAATTATTAATACCTAATTGTGCCCAATTAAAAAAGGTAAGTTAGATTAAATTACCAATGACCCCACACCAAACATTAGTTTCAAATCTGGTCTGTAGACGTCTCTCTGCCACTTCGACAGGGTTTCCACAGGTCAATGATGGGTATTGTGCTTATTAAAAAACTCCACAATTCGTAAACCTACTCTCGACGGGCCACAAGACATGATTTACAAAATCGGGATTTCACGAGTATCCATCACGCTTTGACGTCTACTGAGGTGAACTGCTGGCGTTTTGCTTTTTGTAGGCAAATGAACTTTTCTAAATAAAAGAGCTGTTAGCAAGAACAAAATGAATCTGTAGCGTACAAAAAAAACGAAACAAAATACGGCTCTGTCTACCTGGCGTTGACGGATCTGTCAGAATTATGTGTCCTGTATCGATATGGGGAGTTTTCAAGTATTACTAGATAACCAGCTGTCATTCAACCGTGATGGATACTCGTGGAATAGGGTATAGGTTTGCATGGATGGTATTTATTTTTATTTAAGACTCTCTGTACTGTTGATTTTGATACACGGATTTCTCGTTTTATAGTTCTTATTCTTACTGATGCACTAGGGATTTCGTTGACAGGTTGTAAAATTTTTCTGTCGCTATTTTCATTTTCAATATTGTATCCGCTTCTAAGTTGTTCGAAGGCCCCATGGTTTATTAAATTAACTACTGTTCTTCTAAATTGGGTTTTATGTGCCTGCCATCGCGTTGTTGGGGATACATCTCCAAGTACCTTGCTGAGGTAATGTCGGCGTTTCTGTGTTACTGTAAGTACAGCGCTAACATGTCAAACTTTTCTTCATTTTAGTAGGAAATATCGGCAATTTTCTACAGGTTTTGACATTTTTTTATTGTCAGATTTATGATTTTAATGAGAGAAAACGGACATACTACATATTAAAACACAATTTTAATACTGTGACGATAAATAGTACTGTTGCCGCCATCTGTTGGGAGAGTCCCCTACTCGCCAGAGCTTCATGGCCGATCTCTGCTTTTACGGGGACCACGACCACTTGGCGGCGTATGTGAGGACCGTGGCAGCGACTCGCCTTCTAGATCGATGCGAAGTAACCTCGACTATTCTCGAAGGCCGCTATGTGGCTCCCGATTCTTCTCTAGTCAACGCTGCGGACTATATACGTATAACTCGGCGGCCGGGAGATGGAAGCAGAGTACGGCGAACGGTAGAGTAGCAGAGCAGAGTGGAGTATAGTGCAGGCAATGGCGACATAAGAATTATTCAGACATAAATAGTGGTGTATATAAATGTTTTATCAAGTTAAATGAATTAGTGCAGTTCTTTCTGTGGAATCCAGTGTTTTAATCCACACCCAAGAGAACCCAGAAAAACGCTACAATCCTTTGAATTATTTAACGTCAAATTCAGAGCCTCCGTAGATGAAAAAAATGCGTTACTTATTAATTTTATTTTCTGACAAATAAATCATGGACTCCTTAGAAAAAAATTAATACATAACATTACGTGTGACGATATTTCGATGATACTAAAATCTTTTATGCATTTGTGAGCCATCATTAGGCTAGAAATTTTACGTTCTTTTCAAAAAGCTAAAAATCCAATATGGTGGCCATAAGAAAAATTAAAGTTGAGGCAGGTTGCGGAAAAACAAAACTCGATTGAGACATGTCATATACGCTATCTTAGGGCTGTATTGTCAGTCGTTCCTAAAATTAGGGAGGCCATAAAGACGCCCTACAATTGTTGGACGCCTTTATGGCCTCCTTGATTCTTATAGTCTTGCCTCTGCTTCAGAAAGGCTGGGATATTTCTAGATTTCTACGGTTCCGTGTCAGTGTCAGTGCTCTCCTATTGTCAGGCTATGTTTTCTTGTCGAATTGTAGGAAATTTCAGGCTATATAACAGATGATATAAATCAAAAGCGTGAACAACTTGATGCAAATAATTATTTGTCACAAAACCTCAAAATAGAGCGCTGGCTCGGAAGACTAGAAAACTATGAAAATCAAGGAGGCCATATAGGCGTCCTATAATTATTGTAGGAAAGACTGACGATACGACCGTTATTTGCCTTAAAAAATGTCCGAATAATGTCACATTTTGACAGCTGTCAAATTAGCCGTTTCGGATTTACTGGCAAAAAATGAAACTCGACATTTCAAGTTTTTCGCCCATATTTCCAAAACCAGTTGACCGATCGTAAATCTGAAGCCGGCTATCGAATGCACTAAGATTCCTCTAAAATTTTCTCCATTTAACCTTTGCTGTAGGTATAACAGGAGCCGAGATCCTGTTTAGGGAACCGAATCTGGGACACACTGTATAGAGGAAGCTCGAGGAGAGTGGCTGAAGGAGCCCCAGACCAGAGTGAAATCCGGGAGTGTGCTTTGTTGTTGGAAAAAAATAAAGAGGAGAGGGGGCCACTGAGACATTTCTTTTAAAATCAGCTCGATTTTTGATCATTTGTTGGCATTTGCTGGTCCCTGTAGCAGTGATTTGATCAAACATCAGATGACATCAATCACTTCTTAGAGCTTCTGTCAACAAAGTTGATCGCTAGTGACCAATAAACAAGTACAGCATTGAATATGAAGATCTTTTTTTGATATCCAATATGTTCTCAGTATCAGTAAACTTTTTTGTAAGTAACAACAGATGAGACTAAAAGTGTTTAATGATGTTTTTCCCATTTTGGAAACTGAAGGAGGCCAAGTGAAGGAAGCTTTTCCAATGATAGTTTTATGGTCCGCACATGCAAGACCATGTTTCACACGCGCAAGGTTTTTTTATTTAATTGCTTTTAGCCTCAGTGAACTTCATGACCATGTCCAAAAACTAGTTTCAATCTCTGACTATCCAACATGAAACCACAATCAAACATATATCCACAACAAATATCTTTAGCAATAGCAGTAAGTTAAGAGGGAAGAATCTTCTTTCATTTACCTCAGACTCTATGGAAATGGAACCTATATTACAGGATGTTCACAAAAGGTTGGATAAAAATTCAAGGTGTGATTCCATCAGGACTATTGTGTCTTCTGATAATTTTTGAAATACTGCTTCGTTCAATACGGGTCGCCACTAAAAATAGATTTTTCTTAAATAACAACATTACCGTCGTATTATGCAACAAAATTTTAGTAGTGTAGTGTAGTTAAGGCTTGAAATGATGGTGGCCAGAGAAAGAAATTTTAAATCATTTAGATCACTATGCGCGGTTCAACAACGTCCCTGAAACTAGCTTAAGATTCAGATTCGAATATTACGAAATTAAAGTCGATCAGTTCAATCCCGCTAAACACATCAATATACAGGGTCCGTCAGAAAGAACGCATGTTTCTCAAATGGGCACTACATCCAGTGGGCTGGTCCCGTGTCGGTGGGGAAGGGCGTGTTGGATAGTGGGAGAAGTGCCGTTTCAGTTGGCAAGATGGTTTGGAACGTTGAGCATCCTGAGTTTCCAATTCACTTTCATGTTCCATGTCGTGCGACAGTATCAGACCGTAACACCATTTTGAGATGGGTGGAAGCATTCAACACAACAGGTAATGTGATGAAGAAAAAACCGCCTGGGGACCCCGAAAACGTAGACAGAATAAGAGTTGACACGCTGCAAAGCCCGAATCGTTCCGTCCGTTTGTGTGCCAGTTCCCTGTACGTCGCATCTTGAAGAAGGATTTAGTGTTCCATCCTTACAAAATCCAAGTTTGTAAATAACTGTTGCCAGGGGATTACGCACAACGTGTTAATTTTGCACAGCTCGTGATTGAACAGTTGGATAACAATGATATGACGTTGTTTATGAGTGATGAAGCACATTTTCATTTACATGGATACGTCAATAAATAAAATTGTCGATATTGGTCTCCAGTGAACCCCGAACAGTTGCATACCCCGAAGTAAGTAACCCAAATTCCTGCACGGATGCTGGCCGACGCAATGGGTTCATTTCGGGAGAGGCTTGATTCCTGCATATCGGCTCAAGGGCGCCATATGGCCGACATAGTTTTTAGAACGTAAATTTTGTTTTATTCAAAAATGGCATATATTTCTGAGTATTTTGATGTAATCAAATATTTTTACCATACTTATTTTGACTGTACTACTCATTTAAAAACATGCGTTCTTTCTGACGGACCCTGTATAAATGTTACCTAAATTTTATATTTCTTTGTTATTGGTTATGTAAAAATGAAGTAAGCACTAAATCCAAGTAAGGTAAGCATGAACTTGAAAACTGGTGAAAAATGTCCAGAACTTACTGCTCTATGCATGTAGTATTTATGTAAATGCATTTACTTTATCTCTATCTTTAACCATCGATCCTTGGTAAATTTGAAGACCATATGCTCATATGAATATGGGCCCGTAACGGTTTTCTTTTCGAGCTGGGGCACTATCACTAAGGAAATACAAGTAATGTTCCAAATATTTATATGAATAATCAAACAAACGTATTTATTGAATAGTTGGTATAACCTATGATAAAAATAAATGTTTTACAAGTTGCTGAGGCTCAATATGAACGAGTATGAAAATAGTATTATCCTGTATTTTGGAACTTTTTTTTATTTAGAAGGTCAATAGTTTTGAACAGTAACATTCGAATAGAACGACAACAATCGAATAGTTTTTTTTACAATAAATGTTCGAAGTGGCCACGAATTATTTGATAAAATAAATTAATTCAATTGTTTTCGGGTACGTCATAGGTGTCTAGATAAGCACAATGCTTAAATATTAAAAGTATTGCGATCAAAACAAATCAATTCCATGCTATTTTTTCAAAAAATACTGGATAACATTATTCATATCTACGTACATGGAGGGTCTGAAAACAACTGTAAATCATGTGATATTCATCACAGGGCATACTTAATTAAAATAAAATTCCATTCTTTTAAATTGTTTAGAAACAATTTTCATCATTTCTTTTAGTGCTAATATGCTCTAACTTGGAAACAAAGCCGTTGCGGACCCGTGTTCATATGGAAATTTCGACTTCAAATTGACCAAGGATTCGATGGTTAAAGTTTGTCTACATACTTTATTAACACCCTGTATATTTATAGTCGAGAATTGACGTAATTGCTACATCAGCCATTTATTCCATTTCATTCAACTGGCCAATAAATAAAACCAAATAGAACCACAGAATTGATGATAGAAAAGCTTACGATCGATTCGGATACCTCGGAAGTCTTCTTCAAAGTACAAAATATGAAAAATTAGAATATAAAGTATATTTTCTTTTATATTTTCTTTCAAAGATATTCCTTCTATATTTTATTGATGGATTAAGAAAAAGAGTACCAAGATATCCGACACGTTAGTTAATATTTTTCCAATCAATTCATTGGTATTATTTATTGACCACTTGAAATGGAATTAGCAGACAATCACAGGTGAAGTATCGGGAACAGCAGTATTAACAGCAATTTACGTAAAAGCTTGTATACAAACTGTGTTATAAATTTTTGCAAATAGAAATTACTTTTGTGATAGCATATACATATGCTTCATATGTCATGTGTTAATTTGTGTAAAATAAAGGTACATTCACCAAGATCCACATTAGTAACTTAGATGAGTGGAAATTTATTGCACAGCAGTTTCAAACAAAATAATATATAGTAAATTATGTTAGAAGACGGAATGCGAAATTTAGAGAATTCAGGTTTTTAGTCAAACAAAAATTCTGAATACATAAATATACATATTTCAATATATTTATAAATACGGAAAACAGTGTCATTACTTACACAACTTCATCAAGCTGCAAGATTCAACTTTATTCTCAGATTACTCAGCCAGATTCCCTCAGTGATAGCATTTTCCACATTGTAGGTACTTATTGGTGTTCCTGATGATTTGGTCTCATGTCAATACAATATGGGTTGAAATGTTATGATATAAAACAGATTTTCCAAAAGATATGTTACCGATGTTAGCACTGATGTTATTGTCGCCATTTGCTTTAAAATATCTCCTGACAGATCTTTCAATGTCGTTCCTCGCCAAGGTCATTGTCCAGATCATTGGGAGAGAACTGACTTTCCATGACGTCAGCAAAAATATGCACTCTATCCTCAGTCCTGAAAACTATGCCTTCTGAACCATGAATATGTGCCTTCCGTTTCTCAGCCATTTCGCCATTTTTCAGAGAGGCACACTTGAGTCAAACATCCCGCCAGAAAGTGGCCCCACTTCTTATTGCGAGTGCATTTCTCACTTCATGGACAAGACTCGTCGCTCTACGAATGTCAATCTCAGCCATTTAAAAAAAATTGTGATGGATGTCAGCAGGGAGAAAAGGTCTGCTGTGTCGCTGCACTGGAAGTACAGCAGCACGGTGTAGAGTTTGGTGAACGAAACTTGTTGTTCTCATCATCTATGACCGGGACACAGGTAGATGGTCACCAGAGATGTCATACAAGATCCTAAAAGCAATACTGAATCTGCAGTTTTTAGATTTTTAGATATTGCAAAGTCTATGACATACGGTGCCGGAAGGTGATTGAAAGGATGGCGTGTTGGCTCTTCGGTGCTGTGAATAAGATACTTGCTTCGTATCACATGGTTGTAAAGGCGAACCCCACCAGTAGAGTGCCATGATCGGTGTTTGCAGTTCTAGTCCCCTGCCGCAATAAGAGGGCCCGACAGTCCAGAACGACTTCCAACTCCTCCTCTCGCAGCCTGAAACCACTCCTGACATACACCGAGGTGAACTTCAACGGAATACGTCCAGCCATATTCACTATCACAGAAGCCGCTTGAATGCTTTGCATCTCAGTGTTTGTGCTTCTGTGATACTCAATACCACGTCTAACGAGCACAGCCAAGCCACCACCTCTACCATTCAATCTGTCAGCGCGTTATAACATCATAATTGGAGAAAGCTAAACGATCTCCCGGATTTAGTAATGTTTCCTGCAGCAGAGCCACATCTATACTCTCATCCAATAGAGTTTGACGAAATTCCCGTTTTTTTGCAATATGGCTTAGGCCCAGATAATTCCAGAAACGAATTTCGATAAATGCAGGTTGTCTATTGTACTAAGTCATTCAATGGCTGCGGAAAGATCGCCTGCAATGCCTGAGTGGCGCTATCAGGGGACTTATTATTTGTTGAAGGGACCTAGGTGCAGATGTTGAGATGACTGCTTCCGCGTATGATTTGTTGCGTCTTTGCGCTATAACTTCCAGATTTTTCCTGAGGGTGAATCGGCAAGTGGGACTGTTAGCGGGTGCGCTCCTCCACAATTCGCACACTATCGCTCCTCCTGTTTTGTGAGAGGGCATAAATATGTCATGTGGTCGGAAGCATATTTAAACATTTGGGACGTGCTGTGCAGTAAGACTGTGAATGACCATACCTTTGGCAGCGGTGACACTGCCCAATAAGTCTAGAGCCCTTTTGAACTTCAACTCTGATTACTAGATCCAGTAGCTCATGCTCATTGTACAGCTGCTTGGACTTTTCAATCTTTTGCAGTATCACAACCACCAAAGGCATGGTGCGCCGCCACTGCGTTTGAGTTGGATAATGTGGAGGGGGAGTATATCCCCTCTGTTCTAATTTTCCCTGGATCTCCTGTTTCGAAAGTTTGCAGGTATATCTCTGACTACCGCATGAATATTTCGTGCTGAAGGAAGAGGGAACGTATGATAGGGAACGTTCTCCTCTCTGCACATGCGAACGATCCTGTGGTGATCGGCGTGATTCGCCCCTGGCGGGGTGCTGTGCTGGTCATCTCACCAGCAACGTGAGATTGTTGAGATAATCCACCGTCAGTCGATGCAATGGCCAAATATTGACAAGATGTGGTCGCTGCATAAGACTGGCTCAAGACAAGTGGCAGAAGAAGTTGACACATTTAATAAATCAGAGGGTTTTGGAGGGACTGTCTACTTAAATTTGGATTTTGCTTTTGGAAGAGGTGGAAAGTTATCCGTCTTGTCAGTTTTGTCCGTTTTGTCGCTGCGTCTTTTTTTGGACTTGGCCTGGAAGAATCCGTCATTCTGTATTTCATCGTCGTTCGATGTCATCAGTCAAAGTTTCAAAAGGTCTTTTTAAATTGACAGCCTTATCAGATTTGGAATTAAAATTTTGATTATTAATTAACTACGAGTATGTTACCTGGGTGGCCAGGCAGTCTATTTTACTGTTTTGGTCCTTAACTGTCTCACTCAGTTCCTTTATTTGTTAGGCCTGGCTTTCGATGATCACGGTCAGGCGCTGGATGGTTGTGTCCTTTTAGTGTGCTTCAGCTGGTGTCATCATTTCCTTTGATTTCATCGCAATTTCTGTTCTCTCCTTCTGGTTGGGCTTATTCGTCATCAGGAATGCTGGGGGATCATTGCCATCTCCACGTTTTGTCAACAAGTATGTGCTATTTGCAGCAGTAGTACAATGATTCCTAATAACAGTAGGAGCGTCATGAACGCAATCATTTTTGGTATTTTGCCTAATACCTTTTCTCATTTTACCGTGCACTCCACTACAGGTAATATGGAATTTCGGGATACCATCTAGAATACTTTGTTTGAAAGCCATATTTGATAATGATTAACATAAAACACTCCACAGAGCTGAAAATACCAGTTTTTTAGCATATTGGCAATTTGAGCTCACTACTGAACTGGTCGACTGTAATTTCATCATATTCGAATCTGAATCTGAAGCTGTGTTTAAAGATGGTTTTTCTTGAAACACAAATCGTATGACTGAAAAGATGTATTCTTATCTGACGTGGATAAAATGAGCCGTTCTTGAGAAAAACAGTCTCCCTTCATTCTCGTTTTTAAATCGATTATGGTATTGTTTTTGATATACTTTCCGGTGCCACCATTTTGAAAATATAGTAAGTTTTATAGTACCCGTATAAGTCTATACCCCAACTGAAAAGATGTTTAATACACGAAGAAGTCCATGAATCCATTTGATGTCATATTCCTGTTTTATACTTTTGGCAATGCACTCAACTCATGTAGAAATCCATATATTTATTGTCAATGTAAAGATGGGTATAACAGTGTAACGAAAACACCGTTTTTACTATTTGAAGTCTAATTTTGTACTTCTACGCTAATTTATGTCTATAACCATGTCGACTAGACTATCGCGTTCTGTGGTCTTGCTGACCCATGGCCGGCTGTTGACTGTTCCTCCTTCTGCCATCGGCGTGCATATTTATGTTCAAATTTACCGATTCTAGATGTCGATCATTGCTTCTCGATGTGTTTCGAACGTTCTTGATGTCGTAGCGAACCCTTCCGACGTGTGGTCGCATAGCCGACGTACGAGGGCGTCTCAAAAAGTTGAAGTTTACGAGGGCGCTAGATTCGTAATATGTGACTAGGAGAATCTTCGGATATAAATTTTCAGTTTTAAACTTTTGTTCAAATTTTTATGGGGTCTAGCTGCAGTGTAAATCGGGAGAAGCAATATTGAAATTGGACTGTTCTTCTTAACAACCAATCATTTTTACCACATCAAACAAAAATGTTTTTTTCCATCTAATGAATTAGACTTTCCAAAATTTTTGAGCGATTTTCATATAGAGTGTAAAAAATAACAGTTATGCATCAGGGTTAATTCAAATTCAAATTCTTTTATTATCCCAAGAGACATTACAAAGTATGTATAGGATTCGTCGGAATAATAACTAATAAAACAACACAAAATAAATATATGTATAAAACAAACACACAAATAAATCATAACATAACAAACTCAGAGACGGCATAATAACATTTACACACAAGAAAATCTGTCAGCTTAGCCTTAAAATTATGTATATCTCCACAGTCTTTAATATGTTTTGGTAGTTTATTGAAAATTCGTGGACCCAGTATTTCCGGAGATCTGACGCCGATCTTATACTTGGCAAAATACACATTTAAGTCTCCAGCTTGTCTGGTCGAGTACGAGTTAAAATTGTTTAAAAACCTAGTTTTGTTAATAAAAGTATACACAGCCATTTCATATAAAAATAAAGATGGTAAAGTTAAAATCTTAAGGGCCGACTTCACCACACCACCTACCGGCCCGATAAAGTTACCGCCGCCAAGTTGCCGCTCCGGTAGCGAGACTTACGTTTCACCCACGCGTTACCGGCCCGGTAAAGTGCTGTCGCTCCGGTAAAAGTTATCCGGTCGGGAATTGGGCAGATAGCGAAGTTACCGAGGTCACGGGAGTGATCGATGCAACATGGAAGCAGCCCTTAACCTTTTATTAGAAGATAGCGACGATGAGAAAGATATGGAGCTTCCAGCGAGACGATTGAGATTTATTCGAGAGAGGATAGATCATTTCGAAGACCTAGACGATGTTGATTTTTGTAGAAGATTTCGACTTTCAAAGAACAGTGCCCTCCAAGTTCTAACTTTAATCGAACCGCTTGGAATTTCCAACGTTTGAGAAGTGAGTTGTGACGAGTTTATTTTTCAAAGAAAGACATTCCAAACATTCCCTTGTTATTTGATATTAAACTTTAAAAATTAACACCTTATGCACAAAGTTAGGTTAACTTGATATGTATTGTTTTCAGAAATGATGCTGTTTCACCCATGAACCAGTTATTGTTGTGCTTGAGATTTTACGCTACTGGCTGCACTCAATTGACCGCAGCAGATTTCAGTGGTGTCAGTGATACTACCGCCAACCGCATAATACACAGGGTTACAGCTGCTATAGCTTCCCTGTACCGTCAGTTCATTTACTTTCCAAGAACTGAAGTAGAAATACAACAGACTCAAAGAGACTTTTATGTGATTGCTCGTTTTCCAAAAGTAATTGGTGCAGTGGACTGCACTCACATTAAAATACGTTCCCCTGGGGGTGACCATGCAGAGTACTATAGAAATAGGAAAAGTTTTATGTCTATAAGCTGTCAGGGAATTTGTAACGCTAACTTAGAATTTACTGATGTTGTTGCTAGGTGGCCAGGCAGCACCCACGACCAAACAATTTTTGACAACTCTTTGCAGCGGGCTCGGTTTGAAAACAATGAATATGGAGATTCTATACTCTTGTGTGATTCTGCATATGCTTCCAAAAAGTATTTAATGACACCTCTAGCTAATCCAGCGAGACCAGAGGAAATATTATATAATGAGTCACAAATCAGGTCCAGAAATCCATAGAACGAATATTTGGAGTATGGAAGCGCAGATTTCCCATACTCGCCTTAGGTATTAATACTCGTTTAGATAATGCATTACCAATAATTATTGCCACTGCTGTGCTGTACAATATTCTAAAGAGGGGAGGGGATCCACTTCCACCTGATGACAATGAATTGCAACTTCCAGTACCATGGGATGCACTCATTGATCAAGGAAGAATTGATAATCCCCTGATTCCAAACGAGCATGGCCATGGAGCAGACCCTTATAGACAACCTTTAATCAATTACTACTTCAGGACTCTGCACAGGAATCAGAATAATTGAGAATGTGGTGAAATTTTTGTAAGCATACTTTTATCGATATCCTGTTACAGTTGGTGTACAGTGCCTCAAAACCATTTGTTTATTTTTGGTCTAATGTAAATAGAATAGGAATAAAGTTAAATGTTCAAAGATTGTGTAGTTGATTGTATAGCATAGTATAGAAAACAAGTCTTCTTCCTCTCTATAAATTAACAATAATTATGAGAAATAATCTAAAAATAAATCTTAGGCGTAGGCAAAACAAAAGGAAGTTTAGCTTTGGCAACCGCAACTTAAAACAAGAAAAGATAATGGGTATTACCTTGAAGCTTAACTCAAAACAAAACTCAAAACGCAATGAGATCAAAGCCTTAAATACTGATTTCTATACTTAAGCATGGCACTAGTGTTAAGTGTACCCATACTCAAAAATACTTTTTGTTTCAGTCTTTAAAATTAAAAAAAAATAGAAGTAGAGTAAATCATGAATGAGAACTTTCACTTGCACAGTAAACCTTATCCTATGGAGGTAATGCAAATAATTAAACAGAAAAGAGTAATGTCTCACCAGTAAAGTGCAAGCGCAAAGACCCTTTCATTTTCTCTGAATCAAACAAATATAGATGCAAACAAACTTCATAAGAACAAAAAGGGGATGCACTTGCCCCACAGATACTGAGAATTCAAATAAAAGAGTGAAGTGTAGTGCTTGAAGTTTGAGCATCTCCTCCTCAAGCAGTTTCTTCCGTTTCTCCACCTCAAACAGCTCACCTTTTCTTACTCGCTCCAGCTCCAGCTCTTCTTTGGCTGCTCTAGCTAGTTCTAACTTTGCGTCTATGAGCTGGTTAGCCTTCTCATTGGTTGGTAATTGGGGCCTACGCCTTTGGCTCCTCTTAACCCACTCTTGTTCTGCTGATGTCTTAGGTTTAAGAGGTGCAGCCTTTGGTGACATCAGGTGCTTAGGCTAATATTCCTCCCATTTGTGACCACTGCTTGAGGATGAACCTGCTGATGTGGTAGATGGTTGTGGCCCCTCAGAATTTACTGGTGGTTTGGCCTGTTCTACAAAAAATGCCGGCACCTGCTGGACTTCCACCACTTCCACTTCTTCCCATTGTTCTCCACTCTGAAAGTAATGAGGGTGTTCCATTACACCTTAGGTTAAAAACAATACCAACAAGAAAATTAGGAAAGAAATAGTGACTCACCAAAGACACGGACGAATCACCGTCAAAAGGGTTTTCGAGACCGACGCAGGAAGGCCCCAGCACGGCTAATACCTTCTCGTCAATAATAGAAGGTGTTGAGTTGTCGTCTTTCGTTCCACCACCTACATATACAAGCACAAGCCAATGAAAATATAACCTCGACACAACAAGTTATGTGCTACATATAGTATTTTTCACGAGTAATCAGACCGTTTTGACGTCTACCGAATTGAATAAAAATCTGCAGCGTTGGCCATCATGAATCTGGTATAAAACTCAGGAGCGTATTCGGTGCTGTTTATTGCTTTTTATATTATACTTGAAATGTAGACATGATCATCAGCAGCCATTTTGCTTATAGCGTTCTTTTGCGGTAGTGTGAAGAAACGTTTCTTAATAAAAGCAATAATAACAAATTCTATTCTATTCTATTCTCTAAAAAAGACCTTATCCAGTGATATGGTGGACCATTTATGCCATACTTTGACATTTTTGCAACAGCACTTCATGATTGACGCAGTCAAATGCCCTGCTGAGATCACAAATATCCCAAGAACTCGCCGGCCTCAATCATTTTGACAAGAGCTCCGTAGAAGCTGTGAATTGCTGTTGCCCATTTCGAAAACCGTGCTGATTCTCTGTCAAAATATTATTATTTACAAAAACAAAAACAACCTGTCCAGATAGCAGTACTCGAATACTTTTGAAAAAGTTGATGGTATTGTTACTGGTCTGTAATTACTCAGCTCAGAGGGATCCCCTTTTTTGTATACTGGAATCACCTTTCCTGTTTTAGCAGACAACGAAATTTCCCAGTGCAGAATGATATATTGATCATGAAGACCAGTGGCTTTAAATGTAATCAATACTTTTTTTACTATAAAATTTGGGATCTCATCAGGCCCAGACGAATGTTTGTTTTTAGCTTTTTATTAATTAGGTCAAATAATTCATCATCAGTAAATGGATACAGCAACATCAAATGCCGTGTATCTTCCCTGCTCGAACTAAAGGTATTATCATGAATGGGATTTGTTGGAATATTTCTGACGATTTTTAGAGGTGCAGTTTTGAAAAACTGATTGAATTCATCAGCACGGATTTTCTGATTGGATGTAGTAGTCGAACTCATATATTGTTTTTTTTTGTATTATTTTCGGTCAGTTCAGATACAGTCCTTCCAGACAGCTTTAGTTTTGTTGCTGGAGTCAATATTTTTCTGATAATACCTTCGTTTTGTAAGTTCTACTAATTTCTTGTGTTGTCTCTTTTTTCAATATATTGTTGTTTAACATTCTGGAATTACTGTTGCTAAATAATGAAATTCCTTTAAATTGTGACTAGAACGCACTATTTCTTCGTTCACCCACAATTTTCTTTTGATTGAAACCGTATGCTTCACCGTGGAAAATTTATTTGAAAGTGGTAGTTAAATACCTCAAAAAAATGTCCAAACGCGAGGCTAACATCGATCATGTATATAGTAGAGACCAATCTTCAGCACATAGACCTGATATGAATTGTTCATTGAGTCTCATCGTAGGACCTTTTTCCAGATATTATTAGGTTTGTTTTTTTTGTTGAGATATTTTCATGGAATTCGAAGAAGACTGTCCTTTGGTCTGACATATTATTCTCTAAAGCGCAGGAAGTACCACTGTCCTCAAAATTTGTAAATATCTGATCAATAGTGGTGACTGAACTTGTCATATTCTTGTCGGCCATCCCACTGATGGAGACAAATTGAATTCACTGAGGACACTATTCAGGTTTCCACATTCAGTACCTTGATTGTAATAATATATATTGAAATCGCCACATAAAATTATGTGGTGGTACGGCTGATAAACGGAATGTATTGCTTGACCCAATTTATCGTAGAAAACTTTTATATCCCCTGAAGGTGATCTATAACATTCAATGATAATCGTGGTTATTCCGTTGTCTTTAAATTGAGAAGCACATAGTTCTATCTGTTTTTCAACACAAAAATTGGTAAGATCTATAATTTGGTAGATACAGTTTTCCGGGAATATAAGGCTGTGCCCCTCCTTTGTAGTGTGGATCTACAATAGTGACTAGAAATGTGAAAGTCGTCGATTAAAAAATTTTTTATTGACTCGCTCAAGGCCAAGTCTCAGTCAAACACACGAAATTTATGCTACAATCCATCTCATTGTTAAGAGCAATTCGTCAACTTAAATGCATTCATACATTGAATGTTTAACAATAGAAGCGATGGCACAAAATCTAACTTATTTGTGCCACATTCCTCCGTTTGTATAAAAAACGATTAAACGCAAGTATTTTGGGGCCACTTATTCACATCCGAGCTGGTTTGAAGTGTGCTATGGGCAATGGTAACTTTATAAGACGAATACTCTTCAGGATGTTTAGAGATGAGCTTCTCAACAGTAGCTTCAGGGAAGTGTAGTTTAACCATAGAGCACATCTCCTCAATATTCGTGTCTGGATGGATTCTGCTATCGTGTAGCGAAACTTTTTTCTCTACGCCTCTCACTGCGCCAGTTTCGGGACCTTTACCTACGACTAGGCTGCGTCTACTTCTGATGATTCGAATGACCTAACTGTTTGCTATGAACATAATCATATGAGTTCTCAATTATTCACTATGCTGCCAAAAAGTGAATGAATGTTTTACAAATGTTATTCAAGGAAAACAATTTTCACTTGCGTCCTTTGGTATCTAGGAAATGAGGCAATATATTCAAAATGGTCAGAGGACAAGATAATCTTAGAATAACATGAAAAATTATCACTTGAGCTTTTGTCAAGTGGTTTGGAAACATCCTGTATAGGCGTTTTATGCCCAGTATAATACAGACTAACTTGTTTGTGCGACAATACGTTAAGACGGGAGAAATAGGAAGAAAAAGTCCGGTCTGCTGGAAAGAGTGTTGGGAACCATCCATTCATCCATCCGTCCATCCTTCCATCCGTCCATCCGTCCATCCGTCCATCCGTCCATCCGTCCATCCGTCCATCCGTCCATGCGTCCATCCGTCCATCCGTCCATCCGTCCATCCGTCCATCCGTCCATCCGTCCATCCGTCCATCCGTCCATCCGTCCATCCGTCCATCCGTCCATCCGTCCATCCGTCCATCCGTCCATCCGTCCATCCGTCCATCCGTCCATCCGTCCATCCGTCCATCCATCCATCCGTCCATCCGTCCATCCGTCCATCCGTTCATCCATCCAGCCGTCCAACCGTCATCCGTCCATGCGTCCATCCGTCCATCGGTCTATCCATTCATCCATCCATCCGTCCATTCAAGTGGTTTGGAAACACCCTGTAAGTATAGGCGTTTTTTGCCCAGTATAATACAGACTAACTTGTTATGGCAACAATACATTAAGAGGGAGAAATAGGAAGAAAAGGTCCGGTCTTCTGGAAGGAGTGTTGGGGTCCATCCATTCATCCATCGGTCCATCCGTCCATCCGTCCATCCGTCCATCCGTCCATCCGTCCATCCGTCCATCCGTTCATCCGTCCATCCGTTCATCCGTCGATCCGTCCATCCGTCCATCCGTCCATCCGTCCATCCGTCCATCCGTCCATCCGTCCATCCGTCCATCCGTCCATCCGTCCATCCGTCCATCCGTTCATCCGTCGATCCGTCCATTCGTCCATCCGTCCATCCGTCCATGCGCCCATCCGTCCACCCGTCCATCCACCATCCGTCCAACCGTCCATCGGCCTATCCGTTCATCCGTCCATCCATCCATCCAAGTGGTTTGGAAACACCCTGTAAGTATAGGCGTTTTTTTGCCCAGTATAATACAGACTAACTTGTTATGGCGACAATACGTTTAGAAGGGAGAAATAGGAAGAAAAAGTCCGGTCTTCTGGAAGGAGTGTTGGGGTCCATCCATTCATCATCGGTCCTTCCGTCCAGCCGTCCATCCGTCCATCCATCCATCCGTCCATCCGTCCATCCGTCCATCCGTCCATCCGTCCATCCGTCCATGTCCATCCGTCCATCCGTCCATCCGTCCATCCGTCCATTCGTCCATCCGTCCATCCGTCCATGCGCCATCCGTCCATCCGCCATCCATCCAACCGTCCATCCGTCCATCGGTCTATCCGTTCATCCGTCCATCCGTCCATCCAAGTGGTTTGGAAACACCCTGTAAGTATAGGCGTTTTTTGCCCAGTATAATACAGACTAACTTGTTATGGCGACAATACATTTAGAAGGGAGAAATAGGAAGAAAAAGTCCGGTCTTCTGGAAGGCGTGTTGGGTCCATCCATTCATCCATCGGTCCATCCGTCCACCCGTCCATCCGTCCATAGGTCCATCCGGCCATCGGTCCATCCGTCCATCGTCCATCCGTCCATCCGTCCATCTCTATCCGTCCATTCGTCCATCCGCCATCCGTCCAACGGTCCATCCGTCCATCGGTCTATCCGTTCATCCGTCCATCCAAGTGGTTTGGAAACACCCTGTAAGTATAGGCGTTTTTTGCCCAGTATAATACAGACTAACTTGTTATGGCGACAATACGTTTAGAAGGGAGAAATAGAGAAAAAGTCCCCGGCCTTCTGGAAGGCGTGTTGGGGTCCATCCATT